TGCTGCTGATCATTGGTGGGGAGAAATTCTTCTCACTGTTTGTTATGTCTTGAACCGTATTCCAAAGACTAAGAGTAAGATTTCTCCTTATGAATTACTTCGTAACAAACAACCTAACATTTCTTATTTCAGAACTTGGGGTTGTCTGGCATATGTTAGGATTCCTGATCCTAAAAGAGTTAAGTTAGCTAGTAGAGCTTATGAATGTGTATTCATTGGCTATGCTGTTAATAGTAAAGCATATAGATTCTTTGATTTAAGTGCACGAGTAATTATTGAATCTAATGATGTTGATTTTTATGAGGACAGGTTTCCTTTTAAATCTAGAAATAGTGGGGGTTCGTCCTCCTCTTTTATTCCTGCAGTCAGGTCTAACTCACAGGATTTAGATGCTGAACCCGAATTAAGAAGGAGCAAGCGGGCTAGAGTGGCAAAAGACTTTGGCCCGGACTTTGAAGTTCTCAATGTAGAGGAGGATCCTTCTACCCTCCAAGAAGCCTTAGCCTCAGTTGATTCAGATTTATGGCAAGAAGCCGTGAATGATGAAATGGACTCACTTGAGTCTAATCGAACTTGGCATCTGACTGAGTTGCCACCAGGATGCAGAACAATTGGCTGCAAATGGGTCCTAAAAAGAAAGCTAAAAGTTGATGGGACCGTTGATAAGTATAAAGCTCGTTTGGTAGCTAAAGGCTACAGACAAAGGGAGAATGTTGATTTCTTTGATACTTATTCACCTGTTACTAGAATAACTTCTATTAGAGTGCTAATGTCTCTTGCTTCTGTTTTTAATCTTGTAGTACATCAGATGGATGTAAAGACAGCATTCTTGAATGGTGAATTGGAAGAAGAAATCTACATGGATCAACCAGAGGGCTTTGTCATCCCAGGAAAAGAACATCTGGTATGTAAATTAGATAAGTCTCTTTATGGTCTCAAACAAGCACCTAAACAATGGCATGAAAAATTTGATAACTTAGTCATTTCACATGGTTTTAAGATAAATGGTAGTGACAAGTGCATATATGTAAAATTTGAGAATGACATTTGCACTATAATTTGTCTGTATGTGGATGACTTGTTAATTTTTGGCTCGAATATTCACGCTGTGAATAATGTGAAGCTATTGTTAAATGCTGAGTTTGATATGAAAGATCTAGGAGAGGTGAATGTAATCCTTGGTATTAAGATTACTAGGACAGTAAATGGAGTTTCTTTGGATCAGTCTCATTACATTGAGAAAATCCTAAAGAAATATGGTTACTTTGACTGTAAACCTGTTAGTACACCTTATGATCCCAGTGTAAGGCAATCTGATTATGCGAGCGTCATTGGCAGCCTTCGGTATGCCACTGATTGCACTAGACCCGACATTGCCTATGTCGTGGGATTATTAGGCAGGTTTACTAGTTGTCCTGGTAATGAGCATTGGCATGCTATTGAAAGGGTCATGAGATACCTTAAGAGGACCATGAACCTAGGATTACATTATGAGAGGTTTCCAGCTGTACTAGAAGGCTATAGTGATGCCGACTGGAACACCTTATCAGACGACTCTAAGGCTACTAGTGGATATATTTTCTCTATAGCCGGTGGAGCTGTATCTTGGAAGTCTAAGAAACAGACTATTTTAGCTCAGTCCACCATGGAGTCAGAGATGATAGCACTAGCTTCAGCTAGTGAAGAAGCAGGTTGGTTAAGAGACCTGCTAGGTGAGATTCCCTTGTGGGAAAAACCATTACCTGCTGTCTTGATCCATTGTGATAGTACCGCGGCTATTGCAAAAGTTCAGAACCGTTACTACAACGGTAAGAGACGACAAATACGTCGTAAGCACAGCACTGTAAGAGAATATCTTTCTATTGGAGCTGTGAGAGTGGATCATGTACGCACGGAGAATAATTTGGCTGATCCTTTGACGAAAGGATTAGCTAGAGAGAAAGTCCATAATTCGTCTAAGAAAATGGGACTATTGCCGTTGAAATGAGTTACACATAATGGTAACCCAACCTATAGACTGGAGATCCCAAGAAATAGGTTCAATGGGTAATAACAAGTTATGGAGTGATATGAGTTGATTATGTTTAAATAAACATAAAATTCCTGAAGCGATCAAGGATGAGTTAATAGGAACTCTTAATGAAATCTATACTCCATTTAGAGTGGAGTACCTAGCTACAGGAGTACTCTTGATAGATTCACCTATGTGAATGTGGAAGTGAGGCCGCTTCCTATGAAATGTGTGGCAGCATTTCTAGAGCATTCACTATACTGGGATAGACGTGCATGGCCGTAATAGCACGGGTCTTTAACAACACCAAGAATAGGTCGTGTGAGGTACGTTGTCAGAGATAGGGTTCAAAACTTCGAGTTACCCTTGTTAAATCTGAATCGTATTGACTATGCAGAAGTTCAAGTTGAAAAACACTTCTGTGTATGCACAATCTATATGTGTAAGGATTCTGCTCGAAAATGTTTTCAAAAAATTCAAGTGGGGGATTGTTGGAACAAGTGTGTTTTGGTGTAAATTTTGTGGAAAACAAAAAGTCCCACATTGGTGGGAAATAGAAGTTTGTCCTCCCTTATATTGGAGAATGTGGAGTATTTGGGTGTGGCCCTTGGGCTACCCACATTTTGTGGAGAGGGAGGACTTACCTACCAAGCCCACTTATCACACACGCGCGCCGAACCGAACCGAGCCGAGCCGGGCTGGGCTGGGTTGGGTTGGGTCGAGTCGGGTTTATTAATTAAACTTAATTTTTGCTCAGTTTTTTGAACAAGGCTTAATTACGTAATTAGTGCCTTGATTTTTGCTAAACGGTTTTGACTGGTTATCTCTCTAACGTTTATTTCCAGATTAATTAAACCTTGGCCGTTTTACTAGCTGTTTTGACTGGGTAAATTAACGTTTTAATTGACCGTTTTTGGCGTTAATCACGTTGGTGTTGGAACGGTTTTTGCTACCGTTATACCATTGTTTTGCCTATAAAACATCATGTTATGTTCACTGTTTTTATATAACAAAAAATCACAGAATTTTTCTAATCCCTTTTTTCTCTTACAAAATATTCGAGCAGTGTTCTTTATATTTTTTGGTGGTTAGTTGTCCACTGGTTCTGTGCAAATCCACTGGTATTTTCCTTGCTTAGACAGACTGTTTTATCCTGGGGAACATCCGGTTGTTGTACGAGCTGCTTGCACAAATTAAAGGGCAGTACCGTGAATGTTCTAAAGAGAGCGACATAGTCCGCGACTCAGTCTAATTCCCGGTAACTTTGTTCTGTTTTTATTGTTTACAGCAGTTCGGTTTATAACAGGTAATATACATCTAAACTCCTTCAATTTTCACCATACAATTGTTGAAATACAACTTTCTTTATATATATATATATACACACACACAATAAAGAATTTTTAGTCTAATTAAGAGTTTGGATGATCATAAAAAAAAAAAAAAAAAAAAAAAAAAAAAAAAATACACTAGTACAGTAGTACTTGCAATTGTTGCAAACAAGCGAGAAACAGTCATCCAGTAATTTAATACGAGTGCTAGAAAAATCATCTTAAAATGTAATATAGTCCGTACTATGTCAATGATTTATACGGAGTAATAGCTATAAAAAGATTTCTGACTAAAGTCAGTCCAGTCAGTCATTGATTCCAATTAACGTCATTTCTAAGTCTAACTCACAATAAACTATGTGATAAATTTGATCAACGAAATTTACAGTATAGTTGAATATTGGTCATTTTATTTTATCCAAGATTAATACAGTCAAATTAATTAATCACTCCGTATCATATGATCGATCAAACTACGGAGTAATAACAGTGTCTGTACCTGGAGCTTAATTAATTGACAACATATCTGGACTGAAAATTTTGTTTTTATATTTGTACCCACCATTTATTTAATTTTTTGGGTGTGTAATAGTTTTTGTATTTGCATGGATGACATGCGATGCTGTTACTACCGACATTTACCCAACTTGGCAACGGGGTGAATCTTTGTTTTTCAATATGGACAATGTCTCGATTAGAGAGTGAGGGATAACTCAAATGGTTAGAACTTTTTTTTTCTGATTTTAGAAAATTTTGAGATTAATCCTCACCTTCGTCCTTGTGGCTCACACTAAACTACTAAAGATCAAAAATACAATACCTCAACTATAAAATTATAATCAAACTTATGTTCCGGTAGTGACAAACAAATAATAATGTTTCGATTAAACAGTTGCAACAATTCAAAAACAAGGGTAATATATAAGATCGAGTATTATACTACTCAATTGGTACATATGCTATAGTGCTATTACTAATACAAAGGTTGCCAAAAGGTGACTATAGTTTAATATTCTTACTAAAGATGATAAATTGATTAAAGCTATGGTATGGGTAGGCATAATTTAGCAAAAGTGATTACTTTAGAAAAATTGAATATATTCTTCCCATCATACAATTAGAATAGATGACCAAGTGTTGTGCCATCTTTAAGATGAGTTCATAAAATTATTTATAAAGAAAATAGACTTATAAGAAAAGGAATCAAGGAACATAAAAATAAAAAATGGACATAATATATAATAAAAACATTAGCTAGATCTCAAAAGGGGAATAGACAATTGAAATTAAATACTAGTACTTGTTTTGAGTTATTTCCTACAATATTGTGAAAATTTGAGCAGTGCGCATATACATGTAACACACTAACACGTATCATGTTTATTGCTACTAATTTTTACTCCTTATTTTATTTACTACCTCCGTTACATATTATCTGCAACGATTAGACATTTTTTCTCTCTACTTTATGTCAAATCGTTGCAAATAATATGTAACGGAGGTAGTATTTATATACTGTAAAAGCTATACAGTGGCCTAAAAGAGCATAGTTGTAGATAAAGATTCAATCCCTAATTTGATATTTATGTTCATTACTTACATCAAATCTTTTATTCATTTACATTAATTGACAATCTTAAAATGACTAAACAAAGAAATTCATACGACAAGTAATGAATACACTACTATAAATCTGATTATTTGAATAATTCTAATATACACATTATTATACACTTTTACAAAGTAGCATAGTCCTACACTACACAAAAAAACCCATCCTCTCCAAAAAAAATAAAAATAAATAAATAAATAAAGCAAAACTGAAAGTGAAAGAAATGAAATCTACACGCGCATGCAAATTAGTTTATAACCCTTCAAAAACACCACAAATCTCAGTTGTCCACGTAAGCCCACGAAACCACGCTACCGCCCTCTAACCTCATCGACGCCCAAATTCACATTTTCCCACCAAAGAGTATCCCCCACGCGCCACCTCAGCAAGTAGAAAGTCATTTATTCAAACAACATTTATCAAAATAAATTAATTAATTTTTCCGACAAAGTTGACTATTCAATTTTTGCCATGTCTTTTACCGCCGTAAACTTGCTTACACACTGACATCGGTTTTTGCAAAGGCAGGCATAGCTGCGACTTCGGTGGACACCCCCGCAGACAATTATCCCCTAAACTTCCGGCCACCGGAGATTCTTCTCCGACACCGGGAAAGAATCCCGCCGGTGGAATCCCCGTCAAATAATTTCCGTCAAGAAATAATCTCTTTAAACTCGCCTTTTTACTCAGCTCCAATGGGATTGCTCCACGTAAGCGGTTGTACCGTAACGAAAGTGAGGCTAATACAGGGTATTCCGTCAAATTCACAGGAAAGTACCCTTCGATTTTGTTAAACCCCAAATCAACGGCTACTAATGAGTTGTATTTCCTAGGCTTCCAGATCTCGACACGTGTAAAACTATTGTTCGAGAGGTTGATTTGTTGTAAACCCGGAAGTTGGAAGAACCATGATTGTAAAACTCCGGTGAACGAGTTAGCACTGAGTTCGACCGTTTCAAGCTGAGTCAACTCGGAGAAGGAGGATTCTGAGATTAACCCAGATAATAAGTTTGATTTGATTGCAAGTTCGATTAGATTAGGGGGTAATTTAGGGAGATTACCGGAGAATCTGTTGAAGCTAAGGTCAAGCCTGGTCAAATGAGAGAGAAAATGGAGAGTATTAGGGAGAATACCAGTGAGTAAATTACCAGAAAGGTCAAGCTCTTGAAGAGATTTAAGGGATGAGAATGAGGAAGGAAGAGGGCCAGAAAAGGAATTTGATCTAAGAGTGAGTTGTTGGAGGAGAGAGAGAGAGGAGATAGAGGGTGGGATTGAGCCATGGAATGAGTTTTGACCGAGGTCAAGGATGATGAGTTGGGTGAGTTGAGAAATGAGGGGGGTGAGAGTGCCGGAGTACCCGGCTGAGTCGAGTGTGATTGAGGTGAGTCGGCTGGATGAGCAGGAGAGTCCACAAATGAAGTGGGTTGTAATTGGTTTGGAGCATGGGTCGGATGAGAAGTCCCAGCTTGAGAGGCAGGAGGAGGGAGGGATTGATGAGGGGGTGATGGAGGATTTAAATGATTTTAAAGCGGCGATATCGGCGGGGGCGGTGGTGGAGAGGGTAAATGGGAGGTGGAGGGATAGGAATAGGAGGGAGAGGAGGTGGTAGAGGTGGTGGTGGTGTTTAAGCATGATGAGGGAGTTTTGGAGGGGTTTTTGTTTTTGGTGGAAGAAATGAAATGTAATGTGGTATGGTGTATAAATTAATGGGGTTGAATTTCACTTATATAGGAGCATTTCTCTTCTTTCAATTCTTGTCGTATCTTCAAGTAACAAGGTACGGTACTCTTAAGTGTCCTTGTTTGTTTAGAAAAAATTTGCATAAATTATCGCTAATTTATAACAAGAAATGAAAATTCAAGTATAATTTTAAAATCATAATGAAGAGATAACTAAAACTAACAAAGAGAAACAAAGAGAGTGTGTTAAAAAAAAAAAAAAAAAAAAAATTCATAGTTTCTTAAATAAGGGTCTGTTTTATTCAGATTAATTTCAGTTCAGTTACTAATTTTCTTCTCTCATAAACAATTCATTTCAGCTCTGTTCAGTTTAGTTCAATTATTTTCAGATTATTGGAACATGCCCTAAGTTAGATTACATTCTTAGAGAAAATTGTCATAACTAGCTCATAGTTTTTTTTTTTTTTTTTTTTGAAAAACTAGCTCATAGCTTCCTGTTAATGTTTATCAATAAACAAAATAAAATTTGAAGAAAAAAAATGATTTTTAAAAATATTTCTTGGACCAGGTGGAATGCACTAAAATCTAGGCCAATAATGTGTTATTTGTATATGGTTAAGTGTAATGAGAACCGGAGGTTGGGGCTGCTTGAGGACAGAGTTAGTTGAATATAACAACCAAGTTTTATCCAATTGTTCTTGTGGGTCATGATTCATCATTCATGGCATGATATAAGGTTGGTATTGTGGAGGATGTCTGATTCCTAATCATTTCTTTTATACATGTGTATAAAGTTTTTATGCTGAATTTTACCAATCATCGATTATTACTTAGTTAACTGCACTCATATTCAGGGTAAATTAGATCTCACATTGAAATGATGTTAGGATTATTTATTCAAGTCAAATTGGGCTTAAAACAATCATTTTAAACTTAAGCTATAATACCATTTGAAATTGAAACCAAATTCAAAGTTGTTTGAAGTAGTCTTATTATTCTTACATCCAAATAATAACCAACATGTTTAGTTTTCAACATGTATGGTACTTAGTATGTGTAGGTTGTTAAGTGTTCTTGTTTTAGTTAGTATTAGGTTGTAATTCTGTTTTTCTTTAATAGTATCTTTTGTAAAAAAAAAAAAAAAAAAAAAAAAAAAAAAAAAGTAGTAGTTATATATGATCATAACCGTATTAAAATAACGATTTCTTGTATGTAAAGCGTCATGCACTTAGATCATGCTATAGCTAGAGACCAAAGACATCAAAATGAACAAATTATAACCCCTTTTACTAAGGTAAAACCTAACGAACCCCCCCAGACGTTAAATATTAACATTAATTACTTTGTCATGTTTCTCCAAATTAATACTACTTTAGGTGATATTTAAATGTCTATTCAACACTCCGTGGGCGTTCGTTAGCAAGATCCTTTTAACAATATATAAAGAAATCATAATAAAATTAAACAGCCTATATTAGTGTAGTATCCTCTTTAGAAGCTGCATTTTTATAAAATTTTGTTGAAGTTGTTTAAATTGTTGAGGTTGGTAACATTCATATTAAGTTAAGCTAGTTGACAAAAGAATAATCAACTACTCAACTGTATATAGCCATTAGTTAACAAATCCTAAATTGGGCAATTATCCATATAAACAAAGCCAAACTCGTAGAACCATGGGAATCATATCTTTCACAATCATTAAATCAATTTAGTTAACAGCTGTTGGATGACCTGTTGTTGGATATGCACTACTTCGTACTTCATAATTTAATCTTCAAAAACAAGGATTTTCAAACTCAAGTCAAAAAAAGTAACAATGTGTACGTATTGTACGTGTTTTCTGGTCCAAGCAATATAAAAGCATATGATTGTCACTTAAATATGTGCGGCTTATATACTTGTATATTACTGGAGTGAACTTTTGAGAGTAAGACATTTGCTTAGTTGTGGACTGGCTGTGTAGCAATTTAAGTAACCAAGTACTTCTATTATATCATGCACCATATGGATTTAAAAGCTAGTATAACGGAGTGACGGATGATAGAGGACCAGTTAATTTTGATACTCGATGACGCGACATATTAAATGGATATAACAGTTACTTTGTATATAAGATATAATTTATCATGAGATCAAGGTATAGTAGTGATTAATCAATAATAGTAAGATATAAGGGCACATAACTTTTAAACATGTAGTATCGAATTGAATACTATCGATTTATCCACTTACAGGTATTATTTTGAGGCTAGGACTTGTAATTGATGGAGTATTATACAATGGTAGTGTGAGGTTTGAGAGTTGAAGTACATAGGTAAAATAGAACTATAGAATGATTTGGGCGATACGAAGTACATAATAAGCAAAAAAAAGAATCGAGAGTTGAAGAACATAAAGAACCTCGGCCAAACTGGCTAAAGTTGGACCCTGGAGTATATTGCTTAGGCCAACATGCATTATTTGGGCCTGAACATATAGTTCAACACTCATAAAAGCCTTTTTTTTTTTTTTTTTGGTAAAGAAAACAATCATGAATTATTAGTGTGTAAATTTGGAAAATTATTCAATGTTTAGGATTGTTTTTTTATTTTATTTTTACAAGGTAATATAAAGAACTTTACTAAATCGACATCTCAGTTCCGCAGGTCAAACGCTTGAGAGTAGAGGGGGAGAGGTATGGGAATCCCCTTATTTCAATGGTGTTTTTTAAGGACTTGATTGCAAATATGAAAAATAATAAAAGTGTTGCTAACCATTGGAGCACTATTAAAATACCTGCTCTCTTGAGTAGTACTGTTGAGTTAAGCTACACTGCTTGAAAATATTAAACATTTATAAATTAAATTAAAAATATCATTTTTTATCTTTTGCTACAAAAATAAATATTAAGATATTATTTTCATTATTATCAACTGACATATAGATAAGTGATATTGAACCTTTTTTTTTTTTGGTGAAAAGTTTTTTTTTTTTTAAAAAAAAAATAGGAGTTACAAGACAGTAGGTTTCATGTAACAAATTCACTCGTAATGTAATGATTGTAATCTATATCTTTCACTTTTCATATTTTTTTTAATTTTTTTTTTTTATTTTTACAACCATTGGAGTACTTTGTAGCTTAAAAAGGTTGTAGCTCTAAAAGTTAACATGACAAAGCAAGCTACAAGCCTTTGTAGCTTACCGTTGGAGATATTCCCAAGCAAATGTAGTTGGTGGGGCTCAAATTCGTGATCTCAAGGTCACAAGGTGAGTTCCCCACCCACTCTACCAAGTTTTGTTACATATAGGTAAAATGCAAGCATATGAATATGATTCTAAGTGTTTGTTTGATTGACAAAATTTTTTTTAAAAAAAAAAAAAATTAACACCTTTTTATATTGTGATTTACTTCGTAATCCATACTCCGTACTATCTAATTTTTGAAATACATAGTACTTATAACGAAATGTGTTTTAAGAACGAGGGATAACTCAAGTGGTTAAAGCTTCTCTTCCCGTTGACATCATTCATTTATCCATTTTGTACACGTGTTAACTTCTCCTATAAAATATATATATATATATATATATATATATATATATATATATATATATATATATATATATATATATATATATATATATAACACATGGTTTAATTATTTTAAAAAAAAAAACATATATTCATTCAAAGAAAATTAAATCATAAATTACAATGTATATTAACGATTAGTGAGTTTCATATAACTAGTTAAGTCTTTAAATAATGGAGTACTCTATAATTTTTAATTCTTATTGAAAATTATTACTCCATATATCTCAATCTTTTTTGTTGTTATTATTTTTTTTTCAATATCTTATGACTCAGATTCACATCGCAAAATTCCAATATGAAAAAACTTGAAGAATTAGTGTATTCGTTCTCTCCGAGCCAATTAGTTTTACCATGTATTAGGTTCTTGGTTACACAAATTATGCAAGGTCACTTGTGACAAAGTTTAATCTCATCTCAAATACTAAAAAGTCTTCATTGTTGGTCAAAAGAATAGACTAATGGACTACTAGTCAATTCTCACGAATATCTTAATTAGTTTTTGATTCTCCATTCAATTTCAAATAAAATCAAATTTTCACCTTATTTATCCTCATTTAACCCAAAAATGAATTTTGATAAGGTTAAATAAGTTTTTGATAAAGATAAATTCAAGAAAAATAAGTTTTGATAAATATCGATAAAGGTTAATTCAACTTTAAATTACAACTACTGGTATATTCAGATAAAATTAATATATTTAGATAAGTCACCGAGTACCGTAATTCTGATAAGATTAATGAATTCAGATAAGTCACCGAGTATTGTAATTCACATCAGATTAATAAATTCAGATAAGTCACCGAGTAGGCGAGTATGATACGCAGTATTTAAAACAATAGTTCTCTCCAACTCCAAACAACTTCAACTCCCCTCTTTCAATCTTTCCCACCAACTCTCTCGCCATGAATCATCAACTCCATCTCCTCCTCCTCTTCACCACCGCAACCCTCCTTCTCTCCGCTACCATCTCCGCCGCAACAACCTCCGCATACCCTTCTTCATATGGCGAAGAATCATGCGGATTCTCCGGCGCCGCCGTAACCCCGGAAAGAAGGGAAACATACGGTAACGGACGAATCATCGACATTACCCACCTTATTCACCCAGATATGCCGGCCTTTGAATCTTCCGATGGTGTTGGTCAGTTCATTTGGCTTCTTAAGAGTATGAAAAATGGGTCCATTGCTAATAATTCTGAGATGAAAATCGCCTCTCATACTGGGACCCACGTTGATGCTCCTAGTCATTTCTATGATGATTATTTGGATTCTGGGTTTAATATTGATTCTCTTGACCTTGATGTTCTTAATGGTACGTTTTTGGTTTTTAAATTTCTTTGGTGGGTTAGTGATTATTGTTTTCGAGATATCGTATGACTATTTATTAATGATATTTCTCGTGTTCCCCGTTGATACGGGATTAAAATTTGATGATGGTTTAGTACTTTAGTTGTTTATGATTAGTTGATTTTTGGGTAGTGTTTTATTTAATGATTATGATGGTGATTAATTGGTTGTTGATTTTCTTATTTGTACTGTGTACTGTGTTTTGTTGTTATTACAGGTCCTGCACTATTGGTTGATGTACCAAGAGATAGCAACATAACTGGTACTTTTTTTT